GGAGCGGCCACGTGGCGCTTTTTTTGCCGGCTGCAGCTGAACCAGAGCAGTGTCATCTGCAAACGTGCTGAGGGTGCACTCAATCCTGCTGTCTAGGTCATTGATGAAAATATGAAACAGCACTGATCCCAATACGGACCCCTGAGGGACACAACTTGTCACCAGTCTTCCTTTGAACATTGAGCCGTTGACCACTACCCTCTGGATGTGACCATCCAACCAATTCCTCATCCACTGAACAGTCCACCCATCAAATCCATATCTCCCCAATTTAGAGAGAAGGGTGTTGTGAGGGACTGTGTCAAAGGCTTTACAGAAGTCCAGATAGATGGCATCATAGCTAAAATCAGATCTTTTCTTTCACTGCTGGGAGAGATTAGGTCTCAATTTGTGGACAAGTGGCAAATTCACTTTTCATTCATTCCCTCTGGTTTCAATAAACAGATGAAAATAAGTTATCACCCATGACACTGAATTGCCAGATAATGGGTAAAGCTAACTCTTAGCTCAGTGTGGGATGAGGATCCTGTTTATTCAGTTGCCAAGGATAAAACTAGTTAGCTGGAAAAAGGCAAAAACATTTTTTCTGTTTGATGTATGTAGTTTGAAATTTCCTGGTCAAGTGTGTCAAAGTTTGTGTATGGAACTATATGAATTGCTGAGTGTGTTATGACACTCTCAATGGATCAAGTGTGCTGAGTATTTCCAGAGTGAATATTCTGCTTCAGGTAGAAGGGACAATTACACTTAGGACGCACTGAATTTGCTGAATGCTGCATTTGTATACTTATTAGTGTGTTTGAACATGTCAAACATTAACTGGTATGCCATTAGTGACTGTATTTTAAAATGTTGGAGTGTTTTGAAATAAACACTTTTTTTCTTTCGGTGTGTAGATGTGGTCCGCTGATTGATCTCTGCAGGGGTCCACATGTGAGACACACTGGGAAAATTAAGGCCCTTAAAATATTTAAGGTAAGTTTAAATTAACTGCATTACAACTTAACTAAACTATAGGTCAGTTGATTTATTTATGCATTTATTTCTCCTGAAGTGATTATGCTAGGGTCCTTTGTAGTGTTTTCTGTGCTTACTCTGAAAATAGTCCTTCATTTCTTTCCCCACTCCTATTGTATGAGTAGAACTACAGACTTTCATCTGCTTCGAAGGTGTATTGATTCTTCACCACCACAACAGCATGCCAGTGAAAAGTTGACAGCATCTTTTTTTTAATTAGAGTATTAATGCAGTAACGTGCATGCTTAGACTATAATGAAGAGCACTGCAAAAATACTTCACCTGTAGTGACGACATTAGCTGTGGAACCAATTATATGACGCGCGATAGAGAGGTGCCATGCCGAAGCTAATGTGGCAGCACTGCACTAGTATCCCTACATTGCACTTTGTAGTGTGGATGTCCTAGTGTGAGTCTGACCAGCTGTCACATCTGTGGGCAGTGTGTGTCTGCACTCTGTTCTGCAGTAAATGAACATCCAAGGTATTCACTGGCTCAGAAAATAGTATTTTGACCGTGTAAGATGGAATTTTTCGGGTACAGGAGGTAAAGTGGACACTGACAGATCTGCAAGTATTGCTGTTTAAAAATGGCATTGCTTACAGGAGAGCCAGAGACAGTGTTTGCAGATGCCCCTGGTTATGATGTCGTTTAATTTGCCTGCAGTGCTAATTCAGGTAACCTTAGAATGACCTGATCAGAGCATTCCTCATAGTTGCTTTTGCTGGCTTCCTAACTGAATTTTATGGAACTCTTGAGTTCCAGGGTTTAAGTGTTAGATTTTCCGAACAGCTAGGATTTAACTGTGAGAGTGAGTTAGTTTCATTTTGTCTTTCGTGTTTCCCTACTGCATTATGTTCTGAACGTAAGCAGGTGCTGCTTTTTAGGAGATGTAATGTAAGATAATAAAACATGCCATGATGTGAGTTAAAAGAAGGTGCCTAAGTAGAAGAAAAGTACGGCTTGACTAGTCACTTTCATTTATGTCTTGTGTATTAGTATGCTAACTAAAAGACAGTGCAGATATCTTTGTATTATAAACAAATGCTAAATGACTGCATATAACTCTTTTCCCAAGGAAAAAAATCATAACATTTGAATGCAGTGTTTATTCCTCCTTTCCCATTATAAATTGTGGGTTTTGTGAATCAGAATTCGTCTACATATTGGGAAGGAAAATCTGACATGGAAACTCTGCAGAGAATATATGGCATATCCTTTCCTGATAACAAAATGATGAAGGAATGGGAAAAATTCCAGGAAGAAGCCAGAAACCGGGACCACAGGAAAATTGGAAAGGTACGCTATTTTATGGTCTACTGCTCTTTTATGCTTTTGTAATAGAATTCATTCTCTTTTGTTGCTTTTGTTTTTTCCATTTTTTGACAGTTTGAATTAGAGCCAGTTCTGTGAACTTCTTGGTGTAATTTGTATTTTAAAATTTTAGTTCTACAAACTCAACTTCTCACTTGCATACATATGTTAAACTAATGTTGGGAAGAAGTAGTGGAGTAGTCTCTTGGTTTAGAAAAGTATATCTTAAGCCTTTTAAAGTAGAGTCTTTTCAGATCCTACCTAAACCACTATATTTTTCATAGAAGAGAGAAATTACTGAAAATTGTATAAATAATATGATTTGGTCATTTTTATTATAGGCATACATAGGGTAATAGTGAAGTGTATGTACATGCAGGACTTCAGCTATTGTTGTAAATATTCTTCTAGTAGATTGAAATGAACAGATTTAATCTTAAATTGAGTGTAAATCGGAAGACGTTGGATTGACACAGAGGAGGACTGTGACCTAATACCGGTCATGCTGGCTTGCAGTGTCCTGATTGTTGTCAACTTTGCTATAGTTTTGTAGAGAAGGTGAAGTTATACGGAGGGTATTTGAGGGAAGGTAAGTAGCTTTGTGGATGTTTAAAGTCACAATAGGCAGTACAGGTGAAAGCAGAGAGGCATCTATTTGAAAAACTGATGTAAGTGACGGTCAGTGTTGCTGGCCAAGAGGATGCAGGCACAAACCTCTCATTGGTTACTGGCAGACATGAAAGAAGGGACTGTGAAGGGCCATCATAAGCAAAGATGAACAACGGAGGGTAACTCAGCAGAGGAAGAGCCAGTGAGGAATTTACAGAAAACAGTGACAAAGGGAAGAAGTAGAAAAATGATCTTTACAGAAGTGTTCATGCTTATTTCTATGAACTCATTGAGACTTGGATATTTGTATAGTATTTGTTTGATGATTACTTCTATGCCTTAAAAAAACCCCACTATCTAGTATCAATCAAACAACTTACCTAGTGTCTATGTATCTAATAGAGGCTGAGGTTCTCCAAAGATGTATCGGAGCCCCACTGCTGAACTTAGTTTTTGAGACAGAATTCTGATAAGGAATGACTGGCTCACAAGCTTCAGCCATCAACCCTCAGATCCAATGGGTACATGCTTAATTGCTTTGGTTACTAAAGATAAGATAGTTAAGGCTTCAGAATTCTGAAGAAATCAGTATTTATATAGTTACAGAGTCATATGGAATTCCAGTGTTGCTACAAACTTCTAAGAGTAAGAACTACAGATAGATTAACTACTGTTGCTGAGAACTTGTAGTCTTCTGGAAGTTGTCTTGTTGCTGTATTATTTCATTTTTGTGGACAGAGTCTCAACATGTGTGCAGTTGTGCAGTTCCATCTGATGTGGTGTTACAGCATTCTGTTTTCAATTTACGTAGGAGCAAGAACTCTTCTTCTTCCATGATTTGAGTCCTGGAAGCTGCTTTTTCCTCCCCAGAGGTGCCTTTCTTTACAACACGCTTGTGGATTTCATACGGGTAAGTATATACTGATGTAACTCCTAACAATCAGTTGCTGATTTTAAGTGGTAGGCTGTTCATAGCACTGAGCTCTCCTCAGAAAGAGAAACATCTTGTATGTATGTAAACATATAACAGATTTTCACTATGATTATACAGATCTAACCTTTTTGAAAATAGGGCAGAGTAAAGCATTGACATGTGCTTTTTCCAGTTGTGTAAAACCTACACATGCAGTAGTCCTTTAGTCTCCCAGCAAATCACCATCATAAGAACACAGTTAAAAAGAATCAGGCTTTTGCTTGTCAAAAGCTCTGTGTCACTTTTTAAATGTTGAATTTGTTTTATAGGAAGAATATCACAGGCGTAATTTTACTGAAGTTGTATCTCCAAACATCTACAACAGTAAACTCTGGGAAGCTTCAGGACACTGGCAGCACTACAGTGAAAATATGTTCTCTTTTGAGATCGAGAAGGAAACTTTTGCCCTTAAACCGATGAATTGTCCGGGACATTGGTTTGTACTCTCAACTGGCAAACTTCTTATTTTACTGTATTTATCCTTTCTGGGCCTGAGAGGAAATAAATGGAGTATTAATACATGTTATCATGTATGTTCGCAAAGACTACTAAGCAACTAGCCTGTCCAGAGAGCTCCCCTGACAGTGTCCCAAAGCAGACCAAGTACAGCTCTTGCAGGAGGATCCTTCAGTAAGTCTGCACTAAGTGAGCTAGGTTTGTGCATGCTAGTGCTAGCCTGTACCATCAGTAAATACAAATCATGTTGGATAGAGACAGGCATCAGCTGTGGTGTACCAAAAGAAGGTACAGATGAACCAGTCTTGATTGCTACTCTCACAGTGTTTTTTCTAGCTGGTCTTTAAGCAGTATGTTCTGAGTGCTGCACTTTTTTTCTTTGCCTACCGTTTAGGACACAGACAATCTGAATGAACAAATACTTAAAAGTGTGATTACTGTCCATACTAAGCTTGTTTTAGTTTCCGTATTGCCATAAATGTTGTACAAGAAGGATAAAAGGAAGGTTCTTTCCTGTTACTTCTAGCTTGATGTTTGCCCATCGTCCACGGTCCTGGAGAGAAATGCCTCTTAGACTTGCAGATTTTGGAGTTCTTCACCGAAATGAACTCTCTGGGACTTTAAGTGGTTTGACTCGTGTAAGGCGCTTCCAGCAAGATGATGCTCACATCTTTTGCACAATAGAACAGGTAAAAAAAAAAAAACCCAAACCCAACAACAACCTCCTGCCTCCGGTCAACCACAGAAAGAACCCCTTCCCCCCCTCCCAGTGCAAACCAACATTAAGAAAAAATTCTGGAACTATTTCAACTCTAACTTCTTCTGTTGTGTTCCTTTGTAGCATAATGCTGCTTTTGATGGGGTTTTTTGTTACGTTTAGGTGCTTCCTTCTTGGTCCTCTGGTATTCCATATTTCTTAACCTTCCACAATATTGCTTAAGTCAATAGCCTGTTCAGCTTAGTTTCTCTGTTGCAAGTTTCCCAAATAGCAGTGCCATAATTTGCATTACTTATTTTTCTCTTTGAAATAAAAAATGCTTGTATTGGAAGAAGAAAATGATGATATTTGAGAGATGTTATTGATCCTGAATTACATAATAAGATCTTCTGTACAGGATTTTTCCATTTAGAAAGATACATTGGGCAACTGAATACCAAAAGGTAAAATTTTTTGTCTCTCTCATCTCCCCCTGCAAAGAAAAAAGCTATTGTCCACATCTTGTTTTCCATATTAATGCTGAATAAATATTTTGTCAGTATGTATAGATTGTAATGGAGGTATGCGAATAAAGTGATGCACTCTTGTCAAGTCTGACTCATGCAGTTTGGCTCCAGCAGCCGAGGCTTAACAAGAACATTACTTCTCTTGCCATGCTTTGAAGCCACGACACCTCAGTTCCCTCTTCACCCGTTACCTAGATTTGGGTTTGTTTCTACAAACACATAATTTTCATGTGATTTTAAATTTTTTTTATTTAATGGACTCATATTCTGATTATGAGGAATTTGGTAAATCTAATTACATTTTTATGTAAGTAAATTTTAACATATTTTGTTTATATTTAAGATTGAAGAAGAAATTAAGGGCTGTCTTGATTTCTTGAAGTCAGTGTATGCTGTCTTTGGTTTTACCTTTCAACTACATCTTTCTACAAGACCAGAAAATTACCTAGGAGAGGTAGAGATCTGGGATCATGCAGAAAAGGTAATTCATTTAAAAGCAAGCAAACAAACAAAACCCTTAATATTTGTATTTGCAGAGGTGGGTGTTTAAGTTATTTCATGTTGAACAGTGAAATTGCTTAAATCAGATGCTAAATATTATCCTTAGTAGAAATGCTTTTTGAAAAGCATCACAATAAGAGTGAAGTTTCTGTATGAAACGAGAAATTTCTGATTCTTATTTCTGATTCTTATTTAGCCCCTTATCTTGAACTGATTTGAGTTTTATTAATCTTTTTTTTAGATTAATCACATTTGTACAAGAAACTACTCTTATTTCAAGATTATTTATCAGAAATTACTAAATGCTAGAATGATAGGAGTCGTTCTGCCTGTTGACTCCCTTTGTATTTCAGAGGCAAATGCTTTGACTTACAGTAGTGAAAGGCCTTGCTATACCTTTTTTAATTATTCTCTCATTTTTATGATTAGCAACTTCAAAACAGCTTGAATAACTTTGGAGAGCAATGGCATTTGAATCCAGGAGATGGAGCATTTTATGGTCCTAAGGTTAGTGAATCAGCATTTTAATACAACTTTGGGATGTACAAGAATATGGAAACAATGCAGGCAAACTGTATTTTGTAACTGTGTTACTTTGCTTCACAGATTGATATTAAAATCAAAGATGCTATTGGCAGGTACCATCAGTGTGCTACTGTCCAACTTGACTTCCAACTACCAATTCGATTTAATCTTACTTATGTCGGGTGAGTGTCCAAGCTAAATGTCTTCCTCTTTTAAATGAAATAATAATTAAAAAAAAAAGGTTACTTTCATTATCTATAATTCCTATTAAACTGAGATGTATTAATGCTCCTGTTGCTCACTTAACAAATGATTAGCCTGTATATCAGTGGTTAGGAGGGGAAGCACCCTGGTGAGTAGAGGACTGAGTCACGAACTTGGAAGATATTTCCTCAGTGTTATGATAGCTCACTTCAATTGTAAATGCTGTTGGTTGCAGGAAAACTGCATGATCTGCCTGGTCTGCCAGTTCTGAAGACAACTGCTTGCATATAACGCTAAAGAAAACTCAGTAGAGTCAGGTCTAACTTTAGGCTGGTCACTGTGTCCCCTTTGAAGACACTGCATACAAATTCAAACATGGCTTAGGGAGCTAGTATGTTTGTAATAAGTACTTCAGGTAAAATTAGTGAACTGTGATGAACATAAACCAAATGCAAATAGTTTTTATTTAAAATCACACTTTGGCTTCCAGCTAGGAAGAGAGATATTTATCTGCCAAGTGAATTAATCTTAGTACCATGTTGACCTGAACACACGTTTTCTGGGTTGTTTTTCTTGCTGTGTTTGGTTTTGCATATTATAAAGAATTGGATGGGGAAGACAGAATAAGAACCGTTGTTATATTTTGGTCTTGCTGCATGTTCTACAGTAGATGTCACAGCTCTTTAGTAAGTAATAACATTGTTGTCAACAGCAGCTGGCTTTTTTTTTTAATCACAGGATTGTAATTTAAGTAATGAAAAGAACAGTAAGGACAGCTACGGTCCTTTGCAACAAAATAAAAGCCAGACATAGCAGAAAAGAAAGAGTGAAGAAGAACGTAAAATAGTGAAATGCACAGAAATGGAGCTGAGTCCGTCGAGTGTCTTTTCAAACTTAGGAGTTTGTGCCTATGCCAGTAGCTACAGGCGTGATTATTTTAAGTCACTATGATTATTCAGAATTCCTTTAAAAGCCCAGCTAACTTGAAGAAAGTATGGGGTTTTTAATTAAAACCAGTAGATTATGTGTAAGTATAAATAACTAAATTTTGTCTTTCCATGAGAAGTAGAATCAAAGATATTAGAAGGATTATCTGTGTGTGAGCTAAGAACTTTTATTTTAAAACTTTACTTACTCTTTTTCAGTAAGGATGGCGATGATAAGAAAAGGCCAGTGATTATTCACAGAGCTATTTTGGGATCTGTGGAGAGAATGATAGCTATTCTAGCAGAAAATTATGGAGGAAAATGGTATGTGGCACAAATGCAGTTCCAAGAAATGTTTAATGATGTAGAAAATACAGACCCTCCCTAATGTCCACTGTATTACAATGCAAAATAATGTCCCTAGAAATTTTCTCAAAATTAGTAGGTAAGATTACAGGAAAAGTCTAATTTTATGGTCTGAGTTGTATGCTATCCTTCTATTAATACTTCATTATTAAAAATTAAATTTCATGAGATTGCAGGAAGAATTAATAAAGCAGAAATAAGAATTGTAATTGCATGTGTATGTGCTGCATTGTTCTTGTTCATTTTTTCTTAAAAATCATGCATTTGTACTGGGAAGATGTTAGACATATGTAAAGCAATTATTTACACAGACATGCATTAGTCCTAATAGGTGAAGTATTTTTTTAACTTGTAAGGTGTATTGTTTCATTTTAAATAAGCTCTGGAGATATTTCTTCATTAATGTATTCATTTAAAGTATTAAGGAAGAGTTAATTCCTACTTTCAGCCACCTATCTGCCTGATTGTCCACCTTTCACTATAAAGTTTTAGGCAGAAGTGGAAATTATAAAAGAAAAAAAATCTGTTTAAAATTGTGAAGTCAGCTAGGAAGTGAACAGAAAGTCAAAGCTGCGCGTATGTCATTTTACTGGCATCAGTCTATTTGCTATTTTACGTGAACTTGACGAGAGGAAGATAGCATTGTTCAACATCTGTAGCGAACATAAATATTCATATAAAGAAATTATTATTGGGGAGCATGACTATGGATATGAATGCAAACGTAAAATGCACATTTATTTAGTATTTTTCTTGTCCTGCTTGCCAGGCCGTTCTGGCTGTCTCCGCGGCAGGTCATGGTTGTGCCTGTGGGACCTCTTTCTGAAGAGTATGCCCGGCAGGTGAGAGTGGGGCCTTCCTTTTTATAGCAGCAAGCGATTTTAATAGCTCCTTAAGTACTTGTCTAAGAACAAAGAATGAATGCTGGGGGGGAGGTAAATTTTTTTCCATACAATCTCAAACTTTTATAAGCCTGAGAAAGGGATATTTAACTTCTAAGTGTTTTGGGTTCTGTTATTAAGTACATACTTCAGGAATTATTATAGGAAAAAACATTCTGGATGACAAACCTTATATACTAACTAATGTTTATAATTTTATGGAATTATCTGCTTAAAGTAGGGGCAGAGCCGGTTTCTTCCATTTCCCAACATGTTTACTCTTGACTACATTATGGCCATGGCTGGTTTTACCCCTCTCTCCTGCTTTTCTTTTAATGCAAGCATAAGTGCCTTTGTTCCTTCTCCTCTTTCTCCTTTCTCAGACTGAGGAAACATTTTTGACATTCTGCAGCGTAGCTGTCTGAGGAGATCAACAAATATTTGAATGAATAACGGATGTTACCTTGTATTGTCTTCCAGCTGGAGTCCTGCTAAGCCCTGAAGTGTATGTGCAGTTTTCTTCAGATAACTTCATTGACTTCCTTACAGCAATTCACAAGAGCAAAATTATGCACATACAGGAATTAATTATCGGAAGA